GACCTTTCCTAATCATGACAGCTTTGCTATCCCAATTGATTAAGTCCTTATTCAGAGAAAGGCTAAGGTATGGAATTCAGTTTCACCTGACACTTTTATTTCATGCCAACCTCTCCCAGTTTATAATTTAAATGGAAAAACTGAAATGCTAAAATAAATTGTCACAAGGGAAAGTTAAAAAACTGAATAGATTTGATTTTTCCTTCATCAATTTTTACTTTAAGAAAGAATGAAATGAATACAGTAAAATGACAGAGGAAACACTCTGACGTGTTAATGAATCATTCAGACACAGGATTGAAATGTGTTTTGAAAAAGGAGGAGGACAGCACATATTCCAAATAATTAGTAAATGTTCATGTGTAATTATTGTAATTTAATAACTTATTCCTGCATGACTTTTGCCTCACTCTATACAATTGTTTCATAGATTATGTAAAAGCATTTGATAAGCTATGGCACAAAGATCATTTTGAATTGCCAGGAAAACTTGATTTTATTTGAGAAGGATATCGGAATAATCCAAATCTTCTACTGCACGTAAACTGTCTATATCCAAGTAGAATTAACTACACTAAAATAACAAGAAGCATAAAACAAGGATGGGTCTTCTCATTGGATTTATTCAACATTTACAGTGAAAGAACGATACAATATCCTGTCAGGATTTAGTATGGATGGGATCAATCTTCACAGTATAAGATATGCAGGTGGCGCTCTGTTGATGGCAGACCTAGAAAGAAAACTACAGAAACTCCTACACAAGGTCATAAAAGAATGCACAAACAATGAATTAATCATCAATTGCAAGAAGACAAAATGTACAGTTTTCAGTAAGAGAAAAAAAGCCTGAGTCTGAGTTGGAGATGTTGGAATCAAACCAGTACAGAAGTTTAAGAGTTGTTTTAGCAGATGATTTCAAAAGAAACACCGAAATCTGAAGGCACATTGGAATAACAAAAGATGCCTTTCAAAAACTAAGTAAAGTATTAAGAAACAGGAAAATATTGCTTGAAAAGAAGAATGCTCAACTGCTATGTAATATTAGTCCTCGTACATGGCAGTGAATACTGGACAATCTCCTCACAGATGTTGAAAAAAATGTGAGGCAAGAGATGTAGTTCGAGAGAGAGATGCTGAGAATACCCTGAATTTAGGAAGTTTTAAAGAAAATGAAAACAAAAAGGACAATTATGCATAAAATCAGAGACAGTAAAAATTTCTGGGATGCCTAATGGGAAAAGAAGGCCTGGAAAATTTGACACTCACAGGGCATATTGAAGTCAAGGGGGGACAGAAACAGCAAGTAACCTACTTAACAAGTCTGTGTAAATGGATGAAAGAACCGGGAGAAAGGGGGATAGTAAAAAAAAAAAAAAAAAAACTTTGCTAAGCTACGAAAGATTGGTAGTTGTGGAGAGCTATGTTCATCCACATGCTGAAGGGACATGGCATGTTGAGGATCTCCAGCTATGCCACCAGTGGATGCACCCTTGGTACCAGAACAGAACCATTTTGCCATGTCAGCAGAAGTCCTGTAATAATTCAATAATGCATTTTTAACTTGCTGATTATGCATCTCTTGTATTTTTTACATCGTCAGCTGTTAGAAATTTATACTAAACTATTCGTAAATTGTTGGTGCTGCACCAACTACATCAGAGTAAAAACAAATGATCTCACCCAACATCACACGTGGCTGCTTGGTAAATTATTCTGGCAAGCAAGTGAAATTCAAATGTTTGCTTCTGATTTTATCTGAATTAAAAGAGGTACCAGCCCATCAGTTGCCAAAAAGCAATCAGTGGTGCACCTGTATTTGCTGTTTTGTTCTTTCCACTTCTACCATCTTTCAAGCAACAACAACTGATTTTTCTCTTCAAAAAACTTCTCAGGGGGCCTCTTGTAGTCTTCCAGAGTTATATATATATATATATATATATATATATATATATATATATATATATATACCCTTTGTCTGTTTGTTTGTTATTGAATTTCTCCTAGGATTTTGGAGTTAGACCCCAATAACCATATATATTCTGGAACTGCATTACCCAGGTTGCTTGGATAAGTATTCATTTTGATCAAAGGGAGTCCCTGGGGTACACAAACCCCCTACTGAAAATATTTTGCTCTTTGATGTAAATTAAGTTTAAATTTGAACAAGAGAATGACTCCTATCCAAAATCTAGGAGAAAGCCAAAAGATAAAGGTCACATCGGCAAGATCATTGGAAAATATTGAAATGCCTCATTTTTCTCCACAAAAATTATAACAATGATTTAAAATCAATCATTTTCTTAAAATGTGTGACATGCAGAAAGGCACAAGTAATTCATCTTTTTTTATGATTCAGTAAAATAAGGCAATAGGCACTATATCTTGCGAATATGGCAAATGAACGAAAACTCTTAGCTAAATTATAACTATTTTACCTGGTTATATAGCAAATGGGGGTCTGGTTCCTGACAGTGAATGTCATTTATCTGAAAAGTAACTGTAAAATTGAATCTTCACTTCATTAGAATATATTCTAAGGTTAATCAAAATGACTATGAGGTATGGACTTTGTTGTGACAAAAATACAAATATTTTCTACTACTTTAAAAGCCACCCCCAATTAAACTAGCTCCTGTGGAGAACTCTTGATTGGGCCTTTAACTTGTTCAGAAGTTTGAGAGTCCCTAAGTCTTTGCATATTCTCAGCATTGGAAGCTCTCCTGCCTGCGATTTGATCTGGGTTTTCATTTACGCAGCACATTCTTTTCCTTGCTGCAGCCCGGGCTCTCTTAATTGCAATCTAGTCCACTGTTGGTGGAGATTTCTTTTTGTGAGGCATACTGCTGCAGTATGCGATAGGCAACAATAAACTACAAAAGAACTCAAATTTGATCACTGCATTTAAGTATTGCATTAAAATTTAAGCTTACTTTTTAAAAATTCAACAAATTAATCTTCTGTCACCACCTAATTTCAAGACAGTTTGATGCACATAGGCCCTTACTTTCCATACAATTATTTTTATTTCATGGGTGACTTTCGCTGGATTTGACAATTTCACTTTTTTCCAACTGTTATTGTACAAAAAAATTTTCCCCCAAAAAAACACTGAAAACAATCACAGTAATGAAAACTTTGGAATCCCAAATTCCAGGATTGCGAGTCTGGATCCAGCCTGGAATGTTTTTAATTTGCTCACAGGGTTGGCCTGATTCCAAAATGGTATATGTTGGGCTACGGCCTTTAGGAGTAAAGTTGAAAAGGTGTGACACAGTGACACTCGCATTTATGGAAGATATTTCTTGGGCTTGGCTTGCCTATTTTGTAGTAAAATCTTTTTAGTTGGATTATTGTAAAACTATAATGGCAACATTGACAATTAAACATGCTTTCTGATGTCTGTACATGCTATAGGAATACATTGAGGAAACATCTGTAGTTGCCATAAATTTTTTTTTTTATCATTGGAATATATGTTGCTTTCTTGAATTAAGGGTGAGGTAACTTTAGTTTAATTTTTCTCTCATTTTTCTAATCTTGTTACACTCAGGCACAGTTCTAAGATTTGCTTAGGATCAGCTCTCAGGAAGAAAGTTTTCTAGTTGTTAAATTGAAGTCAAAATGATTTTTTTTCTTTTTTCTTTCCTTTTCCAACTATGAAAAAAAAATCTTTCATCCTTTTTAGTTACTTAAAGCTAAGTACAAATTCATTTTATGTGTGTGTGTGTGTATCACCTTATGCCAGTAAAGCTACTAAAATATAAGGGGTTGCAGGGTGTGGAAGAATTAGGAACAGAAATATGAGCAAAAAGAGAAAAGAGTAATCAGCAGGATAGTAGATAGCGATTGACATTGCATTTAAATTTTTGCAGATTAAAGTTGGCTGGAAAGCATGGAGCCAAAAGGGGGTCCCACAAGCGTGAGAAAAATAATTGTTAGTATAGAATTTACAGTTACATCTAGTACTGTGCTTAAATTCAAAAGTCTAGGTACTATAGTGAAGAGCTCATCCAAATGCCAATGTCTGTGTGTCACGCTTTTTCAATTAAAGAGACACAACTTTCTAACTTTCAGTAGCTCATGTTAGAGAAATTTTGGATTCCCAAGTTTTCATTACTATAATTTTTTGTACAATAATAATTTTTATAACTTGGGAATGATTGAAATTAATTGTAAAAGTTACCCATACATAAAGAAAAAAAAAAGGTAATTGTTTGTATGGTAAATAAGGGCTTATATACATCAAATTATCTTTAAATGACGACAGAAGAATTATTGTTGAACTCGCAGAAAGAAATCTCTGCCAACAGAGGACCAGATTGCAATCAAAAGAGCCAAGGCTGCAGCAAGGAGAAGAATGTGATGTGCAAATGAAAATCCAGATCAAAGGCAGCCAGGAGAGGTTCCAATGCTGAGAAAATCCAGACTTAGGGACTCTCAAACTCTTTAGTAAGCCAAAGACCCAATCAAGAGTCCTCCACAGGAGCCAACTTAAATGCTGCCTGATAGGATGGCTTTTAAGCTAGTTTCAAAATAAAGCTTTCAAATGACAATTCTTCTGTTTAGTGCTTTTTATCAGATAGGAGTTCTGGGAGGGCCTCCACACACACACACGCAATAATTTTGAGCCTTTGGGAACTTTGTGTAGAGAGACGAGCAAACTTCACTACATTAAATTGTATATAGACTCTTCCATTCATTATGAGAGGAACATCAGCTCATAGGACACGAGTCCTAAAAGGTGTCATACACATTGCAATACTGACTATGCTATTCTCTATTATTGTATTGTTAATCCATGTGATCAAAGAGTTTCTTCACTAATCTTTTGTTCCAGTATTTTCATTGGAATATTATTATCCAGAACTACACGCATTACGTTGGGGGAGAAGAAAGGATATATTTAGCAAATCAGTTTTTAATCGTTTTTTAAATTTATTTCCTGACTTCAATAATACATATACTTTTAATGTTTGTGAATATTTTCTTTTTTACAGTGATTTTATAATGGATCCAAGCAAAAGAGATACACTGATCCAATGGGTATGTGGCATTTATTCTTTATCTAATGGTACCCCTTTTGATGTAACTGTCTTCATGTTTCTTTTGTTTTTGTTTAATCCATATCTTTTCCCTGGTATTCTGTAATTTGTCCTCGTGACCAATTTACCAGCTTTGTCATTTGTCTGGCTCTTTCTTTTCCAGATCAATGCAATAAATCCACTTGAGACAATTGAGTCTTTACAAGAATTGAGAGATGGAGAGCAACTGATCAGTTTGTTGAGCACTATGTAAGCTGTTTTTTTGTTTTTGTTTTTTTCTTTTGTTTTAATAAAGCAATATTTTAAATGTTCTTAGAAGTTCCGAGTCAGAACCTCAATATTACAAACAGTTGATGAATTCTTTAGCCTAGAATCCCTTGGTCAATTTCTTCTAATGAGTTCTTTGTTGTTATCTCTTATTAAAAAGTAACAACTCTATAGACCCATCCCTGATATTTCTACAATCTTACGCAAACACAGAATGCACTTTGCAGGACACTGCTGGTGAGCAAAACAAGAACTTGCAAATGATCTACTGCTCTGAACCTCTAGCCATGATGCAAGATGGGTTGGTTGCCCAGCAACCACCTACAATGGCCAACTATGTCATGACACAGAATGTCACCATAATGATCTTCTGACCTTGATGCATGGCGTAATAGACTCATGAATGTCTGAGCAAGCTTGTCTGAATGTTTAACTATTTACTATCATATTCCAACATCTCTCAGAGTTAAAGTTCTTCCTTAATGCCAATCCTTTTTCTCTAATGACCTCTGGTCTGTTTCTCTACTACCTGACCCAGAGATTGAACTTATCACTTCTAACGAACCAGATGAACTTTACTATCATTTTGATTGCCTAATCCAGACAAGTTGTGGGTTTGCTGAGCCTTAAATATAATGTTATTTTGTGATCTATGACTCTTGTGACTTATCATAACTAGCCCATTAATGGTATGATTTAAATATAACCATGTGCATAGATTCCTTCAGCTGTATTATTTTTCCAATGTTTGTTGATCTCTCCTTTAGTATAAATTCATATAGAAACTTGGTATTTACTAAGCCTTACGTAGTATGACACAAAAGCAGAAGTCGGAAGATTGTTATACTAATCTTTCAAGTGGAGAGGGCCTACCTGCCTAGAAAATTCTGAGACACTAGCACCAAGCTCTTGCACAGTTATCACAAGCATGAATCTCCCAGTGAGGACTGAACTCTGCATTAGTAATTGTCAGTAAGGCAAGCTTGCTAACTATTAAGTACTACTCTCGTAGCAGTAGTACTCAACCCGCTGATGAACCTCATAAACTGATGGGTATAATATTGGTGTAACTGACCTAAATCTGAATTAATGCCCCAGAATTAGGCAGATCATTTTGTGCATGATTATATGAGGTTTGATTGAAAAGTATTAGGACTGGTGCTAGAAAAAGAAAATTACAAAACACATCAATTCAGCATTTAATCTCCTTCAAAGTAGTCCCTTTCTGAAGCCACACACTTTATCCAACCTTGCCTCTTTTGATGGAAGCATTCCTGGAACTCTATTTTTGGGATACCAAGTAGCTGCCTCATTGCATTGTCTTGGATTTCCTCGAAGTCTTGAAATCTTGTTCCTTTCAACGTAGTTGTCTGACCTGGACAATGTTGTGCAAAATAAAATGCTACACACACCGTGGTCACTGATGGAACCTCTGTGATGTGGTGAGACACACTTTCCTTCAAAGCACTGTTATAGACAATGGAGGTGAGCGAGAATATTATAATGTGTGTATGTGTGACAGTTCATAGTCAATCTGTGCCCTCATTCTGTGTACTTTACCTCTGTTGCCATAGCAACAGTCCCGATACCTTTTGATCAGACCTTGTATATGTCAAGTTGATGAATTATTTTCAACCCTACAACCCCTGGGCATATGGCTGAGTGGTTAAAACATTTGCTTTCTCACCATGATCGATTTGTTGGGAAGGTGACTTTATGTTATTGGTCTGGAGGAGACAATTTCAGCATGCAGCACCTGAAAACCAAACCGTAGGTTGACCCAAGCCGTATGTGTGAAATTGGGTAGATGGAACCCTTTGGAAACCATTGATTGTGGTATGCTAGCACAAAGTCACAAGTTATCGTGACCAAGGGTTTTAGCGTGCTGCTCTTGTTCAGACTGTTGATCACGCTAGATAATATGCACTCTCCCAGAAACTGTAACTGAGGTCCACTCGACGTAGTTGCAGTATTAACCACAAGTGGGCTCTGTGGGTGTTGAGCAAGTGTCTGCAACGGGGATTAGCTAGTCGCCCTAGTAGATGGGCATCCTTGGATATGAGTAGCTGTGCCATTTTAGACAACCCCCTAAACATCGCAAGTCTTTCACTACTCTATTGCCATTTCTTTGATAACACTTCTGATAATCTATGTTCATTAATTTTGTGGAATAGACTTCAGAGAAGATGCTTTCAAAATTGTTACAATCTTAATTTCTTCAACTTTGGGGCCAATCATTATCATTCCTACATATCCTCATAATCTGCACTTCTTACCTCCTCCTTTTATATTTTTACAACAGCCTCATTCATTAATTCTCTACCTTGAGTGTCTCTTGGGCTATGTATTCAGGGAAAAATTAGTAAAAAAAAAATTTTAAAAAGTTTATCGGTCAAGCGAGTTGGGTCATAGCTGCAGCCTCACCAGATATTAAGTTTAAGACTCCGGAATTTTGGCATTATATTGCCTAAGAGACACAGGACATAATAGATTGAAGCATTGGTTAAAATGCATCTGGTACCTTTAGAAGTTGTGAGTTCAATTTCTGAGTCTGGTAATGCCGAAAATGCACATACTCTGATTCAGTTGAAGAATCCAACAAACAATGCAAAGTAGAACAAGGCTGATGAGTCTTAACTGACATGAGTTCTCTCCCCTAATTACAGAAAAGTGGAGTGAGAACGCTCTATTGAAATATAAGGATTACTGGGTAGGAAGACTGGCAATTGAAGAAGGCCAGAGTGCCCAACAATCAAAACGTAAGGATAACAACCAATATGGGCAAGCTGATCTGAATAGCATAGTATATAAGCGGTTAACTTTTAAGTTTGTTTGCTTTTTTTTAATTTTGATTAATTTCATTTGTTTTTTGTTTTTTTTATTTAGAACCTCCAACTCTTATTCCAATTTGCTCACCAGAAAAGAACGTTTTGAAGTTGTGCAGAAATTTATTGAAGGTAAGAATTTTTTCTTTCTTTTTAGTTTGAGGTCTTGATTGATTTGGATGCTTATATGTTGTAGATTGTTCTGTTTTTGACTTTTGCCAGATTCTTTTCTTTTCTCCTCTTTAATGTTTAGAAAAAGGGCTGGGTTTATTAATTCTGGAATAAAATCAATGTCTTCATAATTATGGCAATTGGAATTTTTACTTTTTTTTTTTTCTCTCTCTCTTTTGAAAATGGACTTGGAGCAAAATTACTTGCATCTTGACATATCTATTGATATAATATTAAAACTATAATCTTGTGTATTTCCATGATAGAGCTTAAATGATACATAATGCCCCAACCAATTTAGGAGCATATTGTCCCCTGAACACCTGCCAAGTGCAGTGCCAAATTTCATTAAAATTATATGAGAAGTTCCTTGAACAAGGGTAATTTTCTGGTTTTACGGCATTTTAATAGGAAATTCAGTATTTGTTTTCAGTACACATTCTTATATCAATCCACGTATGTGAACGAAGACTTGCACATTATATCACAATTATTATGTGTAGAAAATTATAAACATACATTATAACACAACCTATTTATGCAATTCACTACACAACATAAGCACATTTTGTTAAAACAAATATCTTGGATATTTGGCAAGTACTTGATAGGTGAAAACATTAAGTGGAAAATTGTGCTGCATGACTTGATGGTAAATAAATAGATGCATGTTGGTTTGCTGCTATTACATATATTGAAATAAATGTGAAGAAGAAACAAGTATGCATAATAAATATAATTATTATTTTGAAAACCTTACCTTTTTAAAAAAAAAAAAAAAAAACTAAGTGCATCCATACCTTATGTCATTTCTATAAATACAAATCTCCCTAAGAGGACAATTGCTGTTTGTTTTTGGAATAACCTTCAAACTTTAAAAATTATAATATGCTAAATACTAAAATTGGTATAAATTATCACCCTGGAGCTACTATTACTCAAAGAAAAAGGCCTTCAGTGTGATATCAGTTTGTAATCCCATTCTTAAAAACTCTTTTCCTGTAGAGTAATGTTTTCATTAAAGGGATGTTTCAAATTAAAGTTAGGTTATAGTCCTAGAACAATGATAGCCCTCCTCCTCCTCCTATGTCATTCTGGTATTGTTAATTTATTGCTTGTCCTGAAGCAATAAATTAATTTAATGTTTATTGTTGAATTTCATTAGGAAAATAATGCAAACATTTTCATAAATTCTGAAAACCTTTCCATTTATTAATTTATTATTGCATTTGTTCTAAGTAATGTTATATAATTTCAATAATAATTTTGTATCATGAACTGCTTTTAAAAGGAACCAAATACTTATGGGTGGTCTAGTTACTGTGTAACATTAGAAATTTGGAGTTTGTTTTTTTTTTTGTTTTTTTTTTCCCTTTTCTCTCTTTCCTCTCTTAAATATTGAAATTGTTCTATTTCTGTTACGTGTATGATAGGAAACTTACAAAATCAGTACTTGCATGTCAAAAATGATTGATAATCAATTGTACCACGAAAATAATTTCAATTTTTTTACTTCTTCTCTCCAGATTCTTACAATTATGACTTTAGTGGACAAGTGAATTTTGACCGTGACAATGAACTCGACTTTGCAAAGGTGAGTTTTTATAATCTAAAATGTCTGCTAATGTTTCTTATGAACATGGAAGAATACATTGTACAACAAAAGGAAATGATCTTTGTTCAGCATGACCCATCTAGGTATTCCTGTACAAAGAATTTTGTGTCTGTTTATTTTATTTTTCAGTGTATATGATGTATTTATTTTTAGAGCATCTATTTAAAAAAAAAAACTTTATTGCAACTCAAAGTATCCACTATAGGTGAGCAGTTTATTCTAATATCTGTTACTTTACTGAAAGGGAGAAGGCAAACAAGCTTTGAGTTCCAAGACTCAGCATGTTTTGTGTTTATGAATTTTTATATGAAACTTTTCCTTGTATTCAACTGTTCATGTGACTGAACAGTATGTGTTGAACAGCCAGATTTTGTTTTGTTTAACAAATATCAGTATACCATTATTTCGCCTCTGCCAGCAAAGATGGACAAAGGTTATTTATTCACACATTCAGTTTGACTGTCCACACAATATTTCCAAAAGTTCTCAATTAATTTCAATGACATTTTTTTGGAAAAGTGGATCATAAATGAAGAAACAACAAATTTTGGATCATATTTTATTTTTTATCAATTTTGTTAAAATTACAAAATAGTACATTTATTTAAACAGTATAAATTATCAAGAATAGTAAATTTAATATTCACATGAGTATTATCTCCTCTTAGTACAAGGTTTTTTTTTTTGTCCTGGTATACTCTACGTTCTGTAACCTGATTATTCAGCAGCATTGGTGGAAGTATGCACTCTCTGAGTGCTTTTTGTTTTGGTATGTAAGTAGATACCTTCAAAGAAAAGCGGTACCTAAAGTTTAAAATGCATTTTTAAAAATGAAAAATCGTTCTTCAAGCTTTTATTTTAGTTCTAATTCCAAGCTAATAGATTAAATTTAATATTTTTAATAAGCAAAATACTTTGTTGTATTTCAAGCTGAATTTAATTTGATTAGAATAATTTTTTTTTTTAGTTAAAATTGCCAAAACAGCCATTTTAGAAAATCTGTTATCACATGAATCTATTTGTTAAAAAATTTTTCAAAAATAAAATTTACTTTTCTGAAATTTTATTTGAGGAAGGTTACATGATTTATGGTTTAATTTTTTTTAAACAAATAATACTTTAAAATATCACAGTAAAGCATTTTTTAACATGGAGGTGTTGATAAGTCTCTCTCTTGAGACTTATATTGGTATTTTTTCTACAGGGGTGATGTACCTGTAAAAGTTACTCGAATATAATGTGAGCACCATTTTATATAATTTTTTTTTACTACCCAGTAATCTTAGAAATTTAGGAAAATGTTCAAAGTAATCTAATATTTTTATTGAATTTTAGGTATTTTAGGTACTATAAAATTTTACAAAGACACTTGTTGAGAAAATGTTAGGAAATTACCAATAAATTTTAAATTTACTGTAGTTAGCACTCTTATTTTCTGATAATGTTGTGTATTGATGTCTGCATTTACAAAAATTGGCATGTTTAAGCACACACACACACACACACTTTTTAAAATACTGGGAGTTGCTGAATTGTATTAAGCTTTTCAATTTATGATTAGTAAATATATTTTTTACTTAACAAAAATATTGTGTAACTGCTTAAATTATTAAAATTTAAAAAAAAAATTGAAAACAATTTTTGTAAAAATTTATTATTCATCAGGAAACAACTTTATCTTCAGATAATAGTGTCAGTAATATTTTATTTATAAAAGCAATTAAAAAGTTTCTGATTAGATGTCATAGTTTTATTGCATTTTATTTTATGATTCAGAGAAGATTTTTGGTAACTAGAAGCAGGAGGAGTAGTTTTTACAAACAAAAAAAAAAATTAAAAATTGATGATTTAATTTCTCCAAAGACATGTGCTTGTAAGTCCTAAAAAAATAAAAAGAATTTTTAATTTCATGAAATTAAATAAGTAAAAAAAAAAAAAAAAAAATTTTTTTTTGCTAAGATTTTCTTAAAATTTCTAAAATAATTTCATTCATTTGTGAATAGGTCCTGAAAGTTACATTAAAGTCTGACAATTATCTAATTTTTGCTAGAATTTCCAATCAATGTGTTTTTCACCACAAAAAGATAAAATTTATGGTCACTTGCTGGTGCAAAGAAAAAATATTTTAATCAAAATTTTGAAGGCTCTGAGAAAAAAAAAAAAAAAAAAAAAAAAGTGATTTTTTTTCCTCTTAATAAAAGCAAAGATTTTAAAACTTTTATTCAACTTGGGGCATTTTTTTTTCCTCGCATTTTTTAGTGAATCTTTTGGAGGTACCTATATATAAGGTACATGTTTTGTAAAAGATTTTTTTTTTTTATTGACTTTCTTCCTAAAAAAAAAAAACAAAACTTTCTAATGCTTCTTATAAAAATTAATACAGCAATGTTTCTGTCAGGTTGAGTGCATGGAGGTGAGGCTTTCTCATTGCAACACACTTGAGGAATTAGAAAAATTCAATATCTTTTAACATTATTAAATGAGAAGTTCCGTGGACATTATTCATTAGTTAACAATGTTGTTATAAGCATATGGTGGTGGAACATAGAAGAAACAATGAAGGTTTAAAGAAATAAACAATTGTATTAAAGTAAAATGCAACAAATGATAAATCTGTGTAAATGTCTCTTGTCGAAGGAAGGAGATAAGTGGAATTGTAAAAGGCATCCGCAAAGGCGTATGGTAGAAGGAGGGTGATGATGGTGTTTGGAGTGATTACTAGTGATGGTAGCATTATGCCTCCATTCAACTTCCCACAGGGCCTCTGATTCAACACAGAGGCTTACATGAAGTGCCTTGGGGAGGTAGTGCTGCTCTGGGTCAAGAAGGTGGCTGTTGGCAGACCCTACATCTGGCAACAGGACACTGCACCATGCCACACAAGCAGGGGAACCCAGTCATAGCTGACAGACAATTTCTGCAACCATATCACCTCTTACATCTAGTCACCTAACTCACCAGACTGCAGGGTCGCATTTGAGCAAGAGACCGATAAAACTCCTTGTAATACCAAAGATGAACTGAAGGCAAGGATTATGGCAGCATCCACGAACTTAAACAAGGAGGCAGTCCTGATGAGTTGCAGGATATCCCAAAGTCGTCTCGAGAATGCAGTTGAAGCCAATGGCGATATTTTTTTTTTTTTTTATTGAATAAATTTACTGTTTAGTATTTCAAGACATTTTTGTGTAATTTTGGTAAATATATCTGTTAAAATGAGATGCCGGTGTTATTTTCTTTTTTGTGTAATTTAGATGACAATTTATGCATAGCATGCTGTGTATGTATGTATGTATGCATGCTTACTTGGGCTTATAATTTATAAAGAAATGCTATTAAAAATAAAATGAGGATTAATAACACAATAATCAGCACCTAAGATATCCCATGTAGCCCAAATAATGAACACCTTGGAAAGAGCACATAATCTGGTGTGATAAATTTTTTGAACAAGGCGACAATGACTTGCGACTAGCACAACCATCAATGTCTTCTGAATAATTCTGTCTAGCCAATTACAAGGCTTGGAATAACAAGTTATGGTTTTCAGGCATTTTCCAAAGATGCTGTACACTTGGATCGCATCTCCCAGGACAATATTATCAAGAAGCCACCACCCTGACAAATCAACCATGGTGGGATTCAAACCTGGGTCTCATTGCTAGGCAGCAAACGTTCTAACCATTCAGCAACTGGCCATATTATATACATATGCACATAATATATAGATTTTATACTAAGAGATCTACTTTTGCATATTGATATGTAAAGAATTAATGGATCTTATTTTTCACCCATCATATTTTTATTACTGCAAATGTTATTTTTAGTGGATGCTCAGATTTGAGTAGATGCTCCAATTTTATTTTAAATGGTATTTATATACAGGTATCTACTAAAAATTACATTTGACGTAATAAAAATATTGATACATACAAAAACATCCCCTATTTACACTAACCTTTCACTATCTATACATAAATGCATGTGTAAAAAAAAAAAAAAATTTGCAAAATTAAAAGAAATCACTTGAGACTTTTAACAACATTTACTCACCTTTCATTTATTTGGCACTAAATTACATTAGTTTATTTTATATAGCTAGCTTTCAGGATATTTCAGTTTTCTGATTTGACAATATTTTTTTGCTTATGTGTATAAATATGAAAATTTTCACATTTATCTTGATAAAGTCCATCAGGGCTGAAGTTGGAAAAGTTTTATTTTTTATCTTTGTTTTTTCCCCCAGGTGTTGGTTCTTGTGCTATCAGTTGGGGTCCAAGGAGAACACCAGGAGCAGCTCATGACTCCTGCCCTCTCTTTAGATCAAAGATCCCAAGTGGAAATAATGAATATCCTAAAAGAAATTGTTTCTGACTGCCCGAACAAGTTAAACTTGGACAACCTTCTTGCTTGCAGAAGTGGTGAGTCTACATAATCCCTTTTTTCTTTTCTTCTTCCAATAGCTACACTTATTTTGAAAGAAGAAAAAAAAAAAATTAGCTTTCTTGCTATATGTGCATATTTCTATTTTCAGACCAAATTAATGTTCAAAATCCTCTTTGTTAGTTTTTATTTTCATTTTTGATTTGAATGTAATAGACTGTAATATTTCTTGTTTTTTGAATTTGGTAGATAAGTATAACTTTCTTTTTTTTTTCCTTTGTATCCTCGTTTTCAGAAGATACCTTTGACTCTACTGATGTCTCCTGTCATTTTTCACCTGAAAAGACCCATTCTGAAGAACAAGCTCATCCAGGTAAATATACAATGTACATATGGGGTGTCTGAAAATATTTACAATGGTTGATTAATAAGGTCTCCAATCGTATAAAAGTTTTAAAACAGATAAAATAATGATACTGGTATCAGAATAAATTGTAAATGTATTTCTTTTTCAAAATAACGAGTTTAGTTTTCAACATAGTTACTACTAGCAGTAGAGTCCGGCGTTGCCTGGGGACGTAACGGTAATCGACCATCATAAAGACTGAAAAATAAAATTGACAAAGATTATTGTTTAAGGTTGATGGACACACATGTCTTAATTAGTTTTTTGGGGTTTTTTTTTTACGAATTGGTCAAACTCAAACAAAAACATTGTTTTCAATCATTATGAGTCTATTGATTGAATAGAATTTTATTATAAACAATTGCCATGTAAATGGAATTTTTAAAGCATTCTGAATGTAAAAATAAAGAAAAAAGTGTGCAAGACAATAAAAAACACTACCTGCCAAAAAAAAATAGGGGAATTTTGTTGAAATCGGTTGAAAAATGTAGGAAATCCGATCCCATATATAACGGAACACACACACACACACACACACACACACACACACACAACCTGGGTTTTATAATAAGCATAACTCGAGATGAGTTGTCCCCCTTTCATTCTGGCAACAGAATTGTGTTTTATTGTGTTTTCAAATTGATTTTGTGCAAAAACAATTCTGTTTTTCCATTTTTGGCGCTGTCAGAACCACCGCAATGTAATTTTATGTAGTCCTGTGAAGTTTTGTTGAAATTGGTTGAAAAATGTAGGAAATCTGATCCAATATATAAACGTACAGACACACACACAATCTGTGTTTTATAATAAGTAAGATTCCCCTCCCCAACGTTTTATGCAATTTTTCATTCTGTCAGTGGAGAATGTTTTTGGTTTATTTTCACTTCAATTGTGCATAGCAACCCTCAGCATCAGAGTGTGTTCAACAGTTTTGGGAACTACTAGAAATCTTATTAAATTGCAGCTGTATATAGGGTGTACAACAACTGTGAATCTCTTACTTCACACAGTTTGTTGGATTCAATGTAGACTTGAATTGTCTTGGTGGCAAAATATTTCTCCTTAGAAAGTTTATACTACAGTTGTTTTACACAGTACCTTACTGAGCTAATTATCATTTGCATTGGCAGAAATACCATGCAATTGAGGATGTGTGGGTGGTTTAATGTGTAGCAGCTCAGAATGAAAAATTGGTTTTGTTACATTCACTTATGAATTTTATATACAAATCACTTACAAAAAAAAAAAGAATTATTCTTACAATCCAGAATGTTTCAGCTTTAAATAACTCTCAAAGGGTTGATAAGCCTTTAAAAAAAAAAAAAAAAAAATCAACTCTATCGACCATACAAATGACTCTCTTTGCATTGTAGGAAAAATTGTGAGCATGATTTCCTTTCACTGAAGGGAATTTCTTTACTCACAGAGAATTTCGGTGTTGGTAATTTATAGTTTCTGTTTTGTCTTTGCAATCAGAGATGAAGCCAATATTCTTTCCCAGTTTCAATATTGGTCAGAGAGTTGTTGACAGATTTTTTTTCTCTCTCATTTCTTCATGATGTCTGTCGTTTGTCACAGGAACTATTTGGCACAGATTTTTTTTTTTTTTTTTGATTCTTTCTCAACTAATGTCTAACTTGAGAGTAATGTCTCTTTGCTTGTTTCACTGATTTTCACCTGGCATTCACTCTGGAATGAATCTCCTTGTGCATCACTGAAATCAGTCATCCTGCACTTTACACTTCAAATATATACCCAACCTGCTTCTGTTGCGGCTTTTGATATGTTGAATCAATTGATGGACACTTTTCACTTTCATAGATGCATTGCTATAAATTGTTTTCATACATCTGTGAATTTCAATTGGCCTGTCACTTTCTAGCTTCAAAAATCCAATTGGTGCCATTTTGAAAAAAAATCATTTCTCTCCAAGCAAGGTGATAGCCACTGAAATGCAAGGGGTTACTGCTTGTGAAAGAATCCGAGGAAAACATTATTAGACAAAGGAAGAACAATAACAACAGGATTCAAGGAGATGGAGGCTGACGATTGACGCATTTTGATTGCATTTACATTTAAAATATATGTAACTCGGACATTGTTACTCATGATTAATGAACACTTTTTCTCAATACTATCGCACTAGCAAACTGATGCAAAGCACGTTTTAACAAGACTTTATGTATTGCTGAATATGTTAAAAAATGTTTCTAATTCCACAATAAGCAATGCTATGTGTTTGGAGACCTTACATATCAATCAACTCTCATATTCAATGTCATCACTGCAAACTGATGCAAACCACATTTGAACAAAACTATATATTACTGAATACGTGTTCAAACAGGTTTCCATCTCTTCTATTAGTAATGTAGTAAGAGTTTTTATGTATCAGCTTTTTCTATATAAACTTTGTAATAGCAGTTGTGCTTATTTGTTTATTAAACAGTATAAAAGGCATTTAGAGAAGTATTAGATGATTAGGTGACATTTTATTTCTATTGTTAAAAATGTCCTTCTATAACAGGACATGGCCATAAATGTTGACTGTTGCAAGCATCAACATGCATTTTATTTATTCTTTTGTTTTTTCAATTTAGTGACTTTTTCTTTTTATTCCAGTTCAAAATTGAGCAGGTGTATTTAGTGTGTCTTTTTCTGTAAAAAAGACAGCTATGGCTACTCATCATTACTCATTCCTATCTGCTTGTAAAGGTTTTGTTAAGATTAGCTGTGGTAATATCAATGAAAATAGGTTAATACTTCATGTCCATCAAATAGCTAAAGAATCCCAACCCTATCACAATCTTTGAGACATGTTTTATTGATATTTGCAACATTCTACATGTATGCACACAGGTGCATACATGCATCAATGCACACACAACACTATGGAAAAAAAAACTTACACCAGTCATAAGTTCATTTAAAAAAGAAAAATCAAAGTATAAGCAGTCAGTTGCTGATATCCCCCCCCCCGACAAATGGACAGACAAGTTTGTCTACGAAACTCTTGAGTCAGGATACTGAAGGTAATATTAATCAGTCAAGTGACAATCCTTTTACTTGTATTAATTTTATATATAGGTTTGGGGTGGATTGTAATTATGTTTTTCTATTTTTATGTTAACATTTACAATGAAAAGCCGGATTTGTTCCTCTCTTTCATACAATTGTTATATGGATGCTGAGGAACTTGTCAGCTGTTAGTAGTGGCTTTTAAGTTAATGCAGAAGAAATGGGACAAACATTATTCAAAGTGAATGTATTTTTGAGAATTTGTAAGCGAACTGATATTGTTGTAATTTGATTCTGCCTTTAAGATTCAATCAAGCTTAAACAAAAATCTGTGCATTTAAACTTTTTAACTCCTAATCAAATCTTTTGGCTTAACTCAAACCAACCTGGAAAAAAAAAGACAAGGATTTTCATTACATAGTTTTTTTTATTTTTTTTAATACACTTCATCAGTTTTTGATTTGTTACTGAACATGACAAATACTTTGTAATATTTGCTCTTTCTCTTTTCATTGCTTTTGATTACTCATTAGAAATTAATTTGAAATTTTAATTTTATATTCAGTTTTGGCGTTATTTCTTTCTCTGTTATGTTTTTATGACAACTTTCAGTCATTCTACAATTGTTGGTAAGCAGCATGGATTGGAAATTGAAGAATTAGTCTTGATTCCAGTTTCTCTTGCTTATTAACGGCCATAATATTGGGGGTCTGAGAATTTCAACAGAAAGAGAAATAAGTAAAAAAAAAATGAATAGGGGTTCGTATCTTAAATGTGCTGGTTTATTTGTTGCCGTTTCATTGATTGGACTCTTTGATTATTTGCAGAGGAGTTTTTTGTTTTGTTTGTTTTCTTTCTCCCCATTTTATCTGGTTGAAGAGGGAAGGATAAGAATTTCACTAATCAAAAACTCTCAAGTCATTTAAACAAAAAACAAAAATAATTAACACTTTCACTGCTACTCATTTGTCCAGTGCTGCCCCCATCCTGCCAGCCATTTTTAAAGAAAATACCAAATTTCAACCTACATATTTTATTACACAGAAAACTGGCACCAGTGTGTTTTACAGCATTCCATTTTCCTGGATATACCTGGGAATAACTTACCAGATCAGTAATGGGTATACACATGATATCTTTTGAAGCATTGTCCTTTGTGATTTTACGATAGATGGCGCAACGGGACACTCATACCAGCGGTATGCAAAAAGCATAGATTTCCGTACTTAGCCAGCTGGAGCAAGATAAGAAAAACGAAGATCTCCGTAGTTAGCAGCGGAAGTGTTAAGCTCTGAGCCAACTGTCACATTTTTTGATCAAGAGAAATGTTTGGTATATTCATTATATATTCAAGAAGTTGATGTCCTAAAACGTAGAAACTGTTTGTGATTGATTTATGATTGTCCAGTGGGTAAACTACTTGGGTAAGGAAAAGATTTTGGTGTGTTTTGCATACACCTGGGATTTTAAAAAAAAAAAAAAATTTCTTTTTACCTAGTTTTGTTTTGTCCCCACTACCACTCCCAATATTTGAAGGAAATGGTAACTTGTCATTCATGCCTACTTGGTGTGACCCACACTGTAGAGTGCTAGGGTATCACCAAAGGTGTTTGCTTTGTCATAACAATTACACTTGATTGATGCTTTTTTCTTTTCCTTCTTTCCTTTCCAACCAGCTTCTATTCCGTCCAAAGCTGAGCTTCAGAATCGCTCAACCAGTACAAGTTCACTGACTGAAATAATGTCTCCTTTCCAGAGGATAAATGTTGGCTTTTCTCCAGCATCCACCACACCTTTGCATTCGCTCATCACTTCCACTGGATTCAGCAGCAGAGTGAGTAGGATCTGTGCCTTTAATTCCTTTACAACCAGATTGATCCATGCCATTTTTTTTTAAATCGTAGGAAATGCTCCTTGTCTATCTATTTTGTCAATCCTAAAAAACACTGACAAATATAAAAAATTTTAGATTTTGAATTTAAAAAAGAAAAAAATAATTTACTAAGTTTAGCTTAAGTCTGGCAAGTGCAAATGGCTTAATGTGTCAACATACACCATGATTCTCACCCAAGTTTTCCACCAACTGGTCTACGATAACCCCACGTTGTATTTCAATCTGTGATCTGTCAGTAGGTGTGTACCAAGGTTATGAATTTTTTGTTCCTGTGTCTGTTCCTGTCTGATAAATCTATGAAACTTTGTTCAAAAGTAATGAAAAAGGCATTAATTTGTTTTAGTCCTCAAAAAGGTCACCCACATATTGAAAATTCAATTATGCCACTTCTATCTATACCTATATAAAGGGTAGCTGTTTGTGTGTCAGGCTGGCTGGCTAAAACTAAAAAACAACAGTAATTATGACAAAGTAAATATATATATATATATATATATATATACAGACTCATTATCACACAAGCCAGCTTCTTTTTTTTTTTTTTAAAAAGTTATCATCATATGATTTATATTTACGAAGATATTTTAAAATGCATTGAAATTCTCAGAATTAAAAAGTACAAACGAACGTTAATAATTCTTATTTCCAATTAGGATTACCATTTGTGTTTACTTCTTTTATTCTGCTGATGCTTTCGAAACACTATACACGTATTTTTAAAATTTCTATTCTCTTGAATTTATTTTCACATCTATAGTAAATAAAAGCATAAATTTAAAAGAAGAATATTAAATACAATTATTTGAAAAAAAAAGTTTAATATTTATTTATTCAAATATTCGAGTGTGTATCAGGCTACAAAATAAATATACACACAAACCTCTCGCCTACCCCCCCCCATAAATGGACTTCGGATATAACGGACAAAATCTTCTTTTTTTTTTTTTTTTTTTTTTTTTTTTTAAACTAAATTGAATTAACCCTTCTTCATTATTTAGTTGGTATGGGGAAGAGCTGATAAAGCAAAAGTTATCTCAAGTAGTAGAGAAACAATGTGTGTTCTTATTCTTCGACGTGGTGTTTCTTTCTTTCATTGTGTTAATTTGTGAGCATGCAGGTGCACACTAGGGTTATGACTTTGTAAAATAATTGATTTCCTCTATCATAATTTGAACTTTTATTAAAAAATAATGCCAGCTGCCACACCATCTACTCTTCCTGGTGTGGTGGCTGGTAATACAATATGGAGGCTTTGGAACTGTACTGTAAACATGTCCATCTTCCACCTCTTCTCTTTCTATGTGGATATCCATAGTATCTGTTGTAGCATACTCACAGATGATAATGGGTATGTCCCCATTCACATAAATACAGTAGTAAATACTATATGTTGGTTTGCAGTTGGAGATTCGTCTTCAGCTGGGCAGAGAGGATCCCTAGACAGGGCAGAGTCTTGTCTCGGGGAAACGACTACCCGAACCAGTTTTATACAGGGTCTGTGGGGAATTTTTGGCTGAGCCTACAAGCTTGGGAACCCCACGTAAAATTCGGCCTTGTGCCACATCTGACTGCATGGGGCAGTTTTCATTGTGGAATTTACTTGACTCACTTTAGGCAGTTGACTACTCCTATGTGCCACTGACAAATCTTATGTATGTTGTTCTTGTCCTAAGTATTATCGTTCATTACCACCCTTCGTGTGATTATTCTTTTCAGTAACCTTCCCTAGGTTACAGCAGGATCACAAATATAATGGAGCGTGCAGACAAATTTTGACTTGGATAGTTTCCTACTTTACACTAATGCTCTTGAGAGTGAAAAGCGTGCCCCCCCCCCCTCCTAAAAGAAACATCCTAACTGTATCAGGACATCTATAAGGTAACCCATCTTCAGAATAGAAATATCACCCTGGCCTTGTAAAAATGTAAAATTTCTAAAATGATTGCATTTTCATTGATCATTTGAAAAATGGAGACAAAAATCATTGCCTCATGTGATGCAGGATGCAACTGTGCTTGTTTTAACTTAATCTGGCACATTGCCATCATAGTTGAGTATCTAGGTTTCATCTTACTATACCAGTAACGTTTTCCTCATAATTGCTGAAGTAAATATCTTTGTTTCACAATTTGTAACACATGGTTTTCTGGTCTGCAGACCTTTGCCTCCATCCTCCAGCTGTGCCTGCAAAGGCTTATGTTTCCATGCATAAAATTATGAGAAATGTACATATGGACATTTTTATTTATTTCCTTTTTTTTTTTTCTTTTTTTTTTTTTTTTATGCCAGCAAAAAACAATGAATCTTTTAAATGAATGGAAATGTACTTATGCAAATGTAATCTTAAGAAAGCTTTGATTATAACCCTGGGGAAATGAATAAAAGTGCATCTCCCCTTCCAATAATCTAACCTCGTAATCGCTGGGATTGTCTGTCTGGTGTCCATTCTCATCTGTCCGTCCCTCTCTGTAAGCAATAAATATTGACAATATGGCCATGAGGAAAAGCCAGTGATTTTGCTTGAAAACATGCCATACTGTGTACCTACAAAAAATGACTGCTTCAAAGATGTCAAAAAAAAGCTTTTTGATTTTCAGAGGATTTTTTTTTTTTTTTTTTTCCAAATAGGAACAGGTTTGCAATGAGTTAGGATTTTTTTTTTTTTTTTTTTTTTTTCTTATTTTACTTGGTTTCATTTTTGTGTGTGTGTGTTTTCTGTTTTTATTGTGATTCATGTTTGTCTTGTTGCGTGTGTTTGTCTTATCTTGTGTTTGGTGTGGTGCTATTTGCATGCATTTCATGTTTGTTTTTATATTTTTGTATGTTTTTTTTTTTTTTTTTTTTTACTTTTTCATTTTTCTACTTTTTTTAAAAACTTTTTTAAAGTAATGTTGCAATGTATTTTTTTTTCGTTCAGATCATTCAACGTGAAAGGAATTTAAGAAGGAAAGCAGAGGTGAATGTTTTGCTTTGTTCCCTCCTCCTCCTCCTCAGCTATGCTGCTTAGATTTGACTTCTTTCTACTTTTTTTTATGCCTGCCTGCTTGCTTGAATTATTTGCTTGCTTTTTTTCTCTCTCTGCCCTTTTCTCTCAGATTTTTTTTTTTTTTTTTAAATCTCCATTATTTTTTGGAAAGATGGAGGATTCATTATTTATTTGCATACAAAATCCATTCAAGAATTGCTTGACAATGCCTGAATTGTGTAATGGAGTCTAGCTACTCCTGTCAAGAAAGTAAGGTTGTTATGGAACAGTGGCTTGCCCAAGTGTTTATTTCTTTTCCATCAACCATTGTACCATACAGGGAGAAATGGTTTCATGCTTTTTCTCTAGAGGGAACATAAGAAGCTTTAGTTGAAATTTAAAATGCTAATGGCTTACAGCCATATCACATTGAAACACCAGTTTCACCAAAGTTAAGCAATGTCAAGCCTGAGGAGTAAGAGGTGCTGGAAGCTTGGATGTGCAAGTGGTGTAATGAATAAGAGCTTGGAATGAAAAGTTGGAAAGCTGAGTTTGAATTCCAGTCGGATTAATTGCATCCACTTATGCACAAATATCCTTGCAAAAGAGACCTGAATCCATGTGTTCTCCCTATTCAAAAAAAAAAAAAGTTAAAATACTAAGACTAGCATCTGAATATCATTATCACAAAGACCTTAATACAATATTCACTCACAAAAAAAAACAAAACTTATTTTTTGCAATTCCCAAATATGTTTTGGCTTTAAATAACCTACAAAACATTGATAAACCATAAAAGACAAATCTATCAATCAAAATGCTGCTCATTGAGATTAGCAAGAAGAAAATCTTATAATGATTTGCCCTCACACTACAATTTTTGCAGATTCTCTCCCTCCCTCCTACTTCTATGGGCCATGGCCCAGCATATAACATTTTGCAATCAGGCTGACTCCATGGGCAAATTAAAAACATTCCAGGCCTGCAGTTCTGAAATTTTGGATTCCTAAGTTTTCATTACTGTGATTGTTTTCAGATTTTGTCGTCTTGGCTTCTACTGGTAAAAAACAATTAAAGGGACACAACTCACTAATTTTCAATATTTTATGTTCAGATGAAAAAAAAATTACTATTCTCAAAATACAGCATTTCAGAATAAAATTGTCCGTCATTTCAAATTTATACACACACACACATTATATATATATATATATATATATACACACACACATAAAAAATATAGCTTTAAGGTATGCTATATTTATTGGGTAATAACTGCACAATATCAAGGATGGATCATGGGTCATATGTAAATATAAAAGTGGACACCAAGATCAACTTTTCAAGGAATAATATAAGTTTTTAAATTTTGACAAATTTATCAATTGAAGATTTAATAGAAAAAAATTCATAGACAGAACTTGTCCATATTATTTAACAAAACATGCTTGAGACTTCTTGCTGCTTACCCCCATAAATATAGCATACCTTAAAAGTATCTTTTTAACCTGTGTGTGTGTGTGTGTGTGTGTGTGTATATATATATATATATATATATATATATATATATATATATATAATATGATCTGGAGCAGCAGATCAACATTAAGTTTTGTCTGGATATTTGCGCAAGTTAAATACTAATATAATGATACAAGCAATAGGCAGATGACAAAGATTACATGCAAATGTGGACACTGTCTGAACCTTGAGATGCTCAGATTAAGTGTACAACGGATGACAGAAAAACTGAGTAGAAATAGGGTCACCATGCATTGGAAGATTTGGGAATGAGAGAAATAAGTGTGCATATTTTGTGTGTGTGCCTGTACCCACATATTCTGTTTGAAAAGTAACAGGACTGGTAACAATTTATTTTAATTCCAAACAACAGTCTAATGCACTTTCCCATTCTTCTCTGCCACACCTCTATACCCTGCTGGAAGGATTCTTCTTGGATATCCCTCAGTTCTGTCTTTATGGCTCTCTTGATGGCCTCCACACCTTCAAAATGAGTTCCCTTGAGCTTGGAAAGAGAAAAAGTCACATGGGGTAAGATGAGGTGAATAGCGGGTTTGTTCCTAGTATGGCAATGTTCTTGGCCAGGAACTGCTGGATGCTCAAGATGTTATGAGCAGGTACATTGTCATCATGGTGAAGCAGCCACAATTTGTCCTGCCAGAGCTCTCGTCTCTTCTTGTTCACAAAGCAAAAAAAAAAAACATTTTAAGATCACAATTATGCTGGGTGTAACAGCATAATTGTCCATTCCACAAAAGGTTTAATATCTAAAAATCACTAAACTAATTGAGTTCCTTTTTTCCCAGGTTCTCAGATGTTCAGCCATCTTGAACTCATTTGTCATAATAATCACTGAAAAACCCTTTGACTTTTTCAACTAAAAAGAGAACAGGTTAAAGTCATTTTGTGTGAGGCCCTGCTGTCTTAACTGAGCAATGGTGAGAGGAAAAAAGATCATTCAGGCCTTCAGTAATGGTACCAACATTCGTACTCTGGCTCCCATCTTCAAAATCCATCTAGAGAATGGTGAATAAGTTTTAAGAAGAGGGAACAGTGCAGAGGAAAACTGGATCAGGAGGTCAAAGCAGGAAGAGGGATCATCATTTCAACTTAGGACTAAAGATTATATATATATATATATATATATATATATATATATATATATATATATATATATATATATAAAATTATTTATTTATTTGAACTTTATATCAATCTTTCATGAGCTTCCAATCCTTAGCTATAATTAATGAACATGTTATTTTCGTTTATGATCGATTTCATCACGATTCTTCTTTTAATCTTGGAGAGTAATTAACATTCTTATTGCTCAAAATAGAGTTCAATAGTGTTATAAAAACCTTGGAGAATTCCAGTAAGATGTCTTTAATCATTTCTAACATACAACGGTTCAAAGCTTAATCTAACAATTGGACAATTTTGCTGTTACACGATTTGGACAATTTTGCTGTTATAGCTGGTCTACTCCAATCCTAAGCATGACTGCTGATATGGACCACATCCTGGATATACCCTATTTCCAGTTTTGTTGTCTCTTGATATCCAAAAATCCTTTTACTTCACATGCCTTTTTGGTTAATATGACTGCCACTTAGAAGACTGAACTTGAAAAGAAACCATCCACTAGTCTATGAAAACAGAAACTCTTGAGGTACCACCTCTTCTTATTCTTTATATTACCTATTCTTTAGAAGTGATAGCAGTAGTGCCAGAAACTCTTAACATTGATTTTTGTCTTGTTTTATGAGATTATGATGACAATTCTTTTTTTCTTTTTTTTCTCCACAAATACATTTACTGACCTCCCAGCTTTTTTTCTTTTTTTTTTTTTTTGTGTTGTTGATGGTGCATTGAATTTTGTCATTAAAAACATTAATAGAAATGTTTGTTCTGTCTAGCTGCAAGTCAAAAACTGGAGAGAAAAAAATGTGATTGGTGTTAAATTTTTATTTCAGTTTTTTTGTAGTGATTATTTTGGGTCTGATGAAAAGAGGGAGAAACAGTTTTGATTTTGGACATGTCCATAACTGGTTATAATTGCACCTTTTCCAAACAGGGTGCATTTTCTATTTAACAGGTCGAGCCTTAAAGATTTTTTTTAAAATGAATGACATGTTATTCGATATTGACTTTAGAAAAATCTGGGTTTTTTTTTTGTTTTTTTTTTTGTTTTTTTTTCCCCTAATTTTTAATGCATGGGAAGAATTGCTGTTTGCCTGTTTTACTTTGTTCTTATTTTGTGTTATGTGCTTTGATAGTTGTTCAAAAAGTAATGTTAGCTTTAAAATATACACATTTCAAACTTCCCACTACTACTTTTTTTTAAAAAAAAAATTATCTGGCTTTCAACCACATCTTGTTAAAACACCAGTTCCTGTATGATGCCTGGTCAGTATTTAGATGGATGACCGCTTGGGAATACCAAGTGCTGTAAGCTTGGATGTACAGTTGGTGAAATAGATAATGGTTCAGAATTGTTAATCAGACAGCCAAGTACCAATTCCGATTGGATTGCACAAATACCTGGGGAGAGTTATAAATTCACCCCTTCTCCCACCAGATATGGATTAATTAGTAAGGCTTGTATCACTAAACCATTATTATCTCAAAAAAAAAAAAAAAAATTCTGGCTTTAAATAACCTGCAAGGGGTTGATAAGCTGTAGAAAATAAAGGAATCAATTAATCAATCTAATCATCTTGAAAAAAATTTGTAAAAACATTCTAATTAATGCTTTACTGAGCAAAGAGATAATGTGTTTTTGGATCGGGAGGTAACATTCAGACTCTTCAATAAATATTGGATCATCAAAAATGTTCAGTTTATTAAACTTGGTGCTTTTTGCAGAAACCTCATTTTATTTTTATTTTTTTATTCCATGATTTGTAAATCTATCTCTGAAAGCACAATATCTGGTGAGTACAGCTGTTAGGTGAAAACTTCCCCAGCTAGGCAGCAACAATTTTTGCCAGGTCACCAAAGAAACAAATAGTTTAGTGTTACATTGATGGAATATTATTATATTTATTCCATTAATAACAACAAAAAAAAAAAAAAAAAATTTCTTTACTCATTATGCAGAAAGGATGCGTACAATTAGAATTTTGGCAGGATTTTTACAACTGCTAATTTTCTTGTTTTTTTTTTTTTTTTTTTTTTTTCCTTTGTTTCTTAATTCAGAATGAAATTGAAGAAAAAAATAAACTCTTAAAGAAACTAACGAGTGACTTGAATACGGAACGACATTTACGCTCAGACATTGAACTGGAAATACAAGAAAAGATCAAAACAATAAACAGCAAAAGGTAAATTTTTTTTTTTTTTTGTTATTTATCCCCCCACATACCCACCTAGAACTAATAATGGTCACTTTAAAAATAATCTAATTCTCTCCTGTGTCAAATAATATAAGCACTTAGCAAACATAACATTCTCAATCCCTTTCCCAATTTAGTTTGAAATATGAATTTACTTTAGCCACTTATTTAGTAATTACAAACCAACCCTAGTGTTATTTACATTCAAATTAATGTTATATAAATTTTATCGCATTTCCTGAAGTTGTGTCCTAACCTGTAATCCTAAGGTATATATATGTGCAAAGTAGTCACTTAAACCATTGGCAACCTTGCCAATGGTTGGAGTTGCTACTTTGCCAATAGTTTAACTTAAAGTCATTTATAATTTCTTTTTATTTCATCTTAAGATATTCTTAAATTCCGAAATAATTTTTTTACTTCCAGTGAAATCTTTTATTGTACAAATATGAATATTTTTTTTTTTTTTTTTTTTTTTTTAAATCATATAATGTAAAAATCCTATTTTATTTACTCAGCTAATACTAAATTTAAAATTTATTAATTTTACATCTTCAATGATATGTCATGTGTTAGAGATATAAGTGGAGTGAACTCCACTTATATCTCTAACACAAGGTTTAATTTACTTGGAAATGTATTAGTTTTTTAAATATTTTTTTTTCTTGGACTACACTATTGCTACTTTGGATTAAAATTAGGCTTATAATTGCTAAGTAAATGTTTTAAATAAAATTATAACTTGTGTTGGTAGTATAGTGATTTACCAAGTGTATCTTAGATATGGCACAATACCAAAAAGTGTTGGTAATATAGAGGGCATCAAACATTAGATATATGTAATAATATAAATTTTAATTTAAAATGTTGTTTGCTGCATGCACAAGAAAAGAATTTTACTGAAAACAATCTGTATTTTGGTCTTGTCAAAATTAAACATAGAATTAAAGAGGAGATATGCAAAATGTTACTTTGCAGGAGATTTGTGTGTGTGATATATAGTTTTATGGTATATTTATGGGTTAAAGTGCTCAATACCAAGGATAGCATTGTTTTTGCTATTAAGTATTACATGCATATGAATATTTTTACAGAAATACTCTTTTCTAGCTGACTGTATTTACTGTATCAAAAGTAGGAAAAGGGACTGACATTTCTTCATGAAGTCTCTAAAATTTTGGTCAGATTTGTGTGCGCATATGTGCACAGGGTTTATGTGCATGTCTGTGAGTGTGTATCTGCATGTATCTGTATTGAGGATAATATGCTTGCTTTTCTTCAACATGTCTTGTATTTTTTTTTGTCATTGTCTGTGCATGTTTATGCTCCCATATATATATATATATATATATATATATATATATATATATATATATATATATATATATATATATATATATACACACAAGCCATCCAATGTCACCTGAAGGCATTGTATAGCCATTATCATTTGATGGACAATCTCATATTCCATTGTCCAGTTTTAAAGAGCATTTTCCACTTGGTTTGTTTCTTTTCAATCTAGATGACAAGATCCATGACCTGATGACTCAGAATCGAACTTTGAAGCAACTTCAGGACAAACTGGATGAGTTGAATATGTTAAAGGAGGAATATGAACAAATGGTCACAGAGACAGAAAAGTGAGGCTGTTTTCTCTTTCTTTGCTCTGCATTATTTTCCTCTTTTGTTGTTCATTAAACATGACATTTGTGAGTTTGTCCAGGCTATTAATAATCCTTCTATTGGGTACTTGATGCTGTTGGAGACAATGGCCACAAAAGCACTCAAATAAAGACTTTGATCTTAAAGCAAAAATAAACAAACAAACAAAAGTTCTAATCAAAATTTTGATTAAAGTCACATTTCTGTTTTTTTTTTTTTTTTCTTTTCTTTTTGTCTTCTTTTTCTTCTTTTTTGTCTTCTTTTTTGTCTTCTTTTTTTTTCTTCTTTTTTTCTTCTTTTTTTCTTCTTCTTTTTGTCTTCTTTTTTGTCTTCTTTTTTGTCTTCTTTTTTTGTCTTCTTTTTTTGTCTTCTTTTTTGTCTTCTTTTTTGTCTTCTTTTTTTTGTCTTTTTTTTGTCTTCTTTTTGTCTTCTTTTTTGTCTTCTTTTTGTCTTCTTTTTTCTTCTTTTTTGTCTTCTTTTTTTTTTTTTTTTGTCTTCTTTTTTTGTCTTCTTTTTTTGTCTTCTTTTTTTGTCTTCTTTTTTTGTCTTCTTTTTTTGTCTTCTTTTTTTGTCTTCTTTTTTTGTCTTCTTTTTTTGTCTTCTTTTTTTGTCTTCTTTTTTTGTCTTCTTTTTTTGTCTTCTTTTTTTTCTTTTTTTGTCTTCTTTTTTTTGTCTTTTTTTTTCTCTTCTTTTTTGTCTTCTTTTTTTTTGTCTTCTTTTTTGTCTTCTTTTTTGTCTTCTTTTTTGTCTTTTTTTTGTTCTTTTTTTTTGTCTTCTTTTTTTTGTCTTCTTTTTTGTCTTCTTTTTGTCTTTTTTTTTGTCTTCTTTTTTGTCTTCTTTTTGTCTTCTTTTTTGTCTTCTTTTTTTGTCTTCTTTTTTGTCTTCTTTTTTTTTTCTTTTTTGTCTTCTTTTTTTTTTTTTCTTTTGTCTTTTTTTTTGTCTTCTTTTTTGTCTTTTTTTTTGTCTTCTTTTTTTTCTTTTTTTTTTTTTTTTTTTCTTTTTTTCTTCTTTTTTGTCTTCTTTTTGTCTTTTTTTTTCTTTTTCTTTTCTTTTTTTTTTTTTTTTTTTTTTTTTTTTTTTTTTTTTTCTTTCTTTTTTTTTTTTCTTCTTTTTTTTCTTTTCTCTTCTTTTTTTTCTTTTCTCTTCTTTTTTTTCTTTTCTCTTCTTTTTTTTCTTTTCTCTTCTTTTTTGTCAAGATCAAAAATCATTGCATTGCTTTTTGTTTTAAGAATTTTTTTGTAAAATCAAGATTTTTTTTTTTTTTTTTATTCACCAGGAACTATGAGCCTTCTTGTCTGCCAGGAAATGTCTCAAATCTTTAATTTAAAATAATAATATTTTTGACAACAATTCAGTCTGTTTATTAATTTTTGACTATTTCTTTCATCTTCATTTCAGTTGTTTTTTTAATGACATTCTGAGAATTTGCAATAAAACTAAGTGAAATTAAGGTTAAAGAAATGCTAGGCAAAAATTTTTGACAATGCTTGTCAGAAATTCCAGATAGTATACTGTCTTCTATGAATTTACACAGTGTAGCATAAAAGCTGTTACAAAATATCAAAAGAATTCTACCTCTAAATTTTTGTTCATTACATTATGATACTTGCACAGCAACATGTACTATTTGTGTTGTTTTTTGTTTTTTTTCCTCTCTCAAAGTTTTAGTATTTACAGGCAACAATGTTTATTGAAAGTAAAATTATAGCATTGAGCAACATGAAAACAGACTTATTCCACCTGAGATTTTTTAATGCTGGAAACCAATTTTAAATCAATAGAATGTTTATCAAAAGGACAATTGATTGATACAAGACTTCTTCCATCACAAATAGGCTGAGACCAGGACATCCTCACACCTCCAGAACACCAAAACTTATTAAATGTATGTGAAAAAAATCAAAAAAGAAAATTGGCTAAGGAGGCCGAAACATCAGAGAGAACCATGCGGAGGCTATGTGAAAATGGTTTATGGACGTTGCCCTACAAGATGACCAAGAGACCGCTTCTTTCAATGGCCACAATGAAAAGGTGTCAAAGAAGTAAGCAGACGCTGAAATGAATTCGTGATGGCATGCTACAAAACATCATCTTCACTGATGAGAAACTGTTTGAACATCCTTTTAATCATCAAAAGGATTGTGTTCTTTCAAAAAGTCATCAGTCATTGCCTTGTGCTTCATGAAAATACCTCCAAACCCAAAAACTGGCATCAGTTATGGTTTGGGCAGCCATTTCAGAAAGAGGAAAGTCTCCTCTTATTTTCATTCCTCAAGAGGTAAAATCATTAAGGTAGTAGACATCTTGAATGACTTTCCCAAAAGACTTTGACCTGAGGTGAAGGCTAAAGGGAACCATATTGAAGGAGATTTTCTGGTGTTATTTAGCAGATTAATACTTTGTGTAACCAATTATAATAATTGATTGTATGCAGATATGATAAATTTTCCAGGAGATGTGAGCCTTTACCTTTGTAACAGTATTTATGCTGCACTCTGTATAATTAAATTCTTCTTGAATTGATGAGGAATCATTTCTTTACTAAAAGTAGTCCTTTTCCAAAACAGCTGGAAACTTTAATCAGTGCTTAAATTCTTTTCCCATTTAAATGCAAATTAGTTTAAATGATTTGGAAAACAGGGTTGATTTTTTTTTTTTTTTTCTTTCTTTACTAGATCTAAATCCTATGTTGAAGAACTAAAAGATCTTCGACTGCAGAATTCCAGTTTGAAAAAAGAAGTGAATGAATTATATGAAGAAATCAACAGTTTGAAAGAAATGGTAAGTATAAATAATTTTCAGGTCAGAAAACGGTTTTATTTCTTATGGGCTTAGTTTGTATTTATGATATAATCAAGAGGGATTCTCTTACTGATTGATGACTGTATATTGTCTTTACTAGTGTACCCATGCCGTCAAAAATGATGGCAAATGTTGGAAAGTTTTCACAGGGAGGTGCAATGAAACAAAAATGTTGAAACTGTGTATTGATATTTATTGAAGTGAAGAATTATCAACTAAATTCGAGGCCAATGACCCATTTAATTAATCTGTTCCATATATATATATATATATATATATATATATATATATATATGTAGACATTCAATGGCATCTATGATTCATTGATCACTCTTGGTATTATGTAAATCACTTTTTGCTCATGTTAAACATTTTATGTGCTTAATATGACAGTGGAATGAAAATATCTCTTAAAGAAAAATATTACCAACACAACAAAGACTGTGACAAGAGAACCTATTTCAAGACCAAATTGGAGCAAGGTGATCACTTAATGGACAAAAGCGTCAAAGTACCTCACATGAAAGGCTTGAACAAATAAGACTGCAATATATGAAACATGGTAGTAAAGGAACTGATTAATTAAACTGTTCCTTTTGCTCAGGAACTAATTTTGTCTAAATGCAGATAAATATTTTATTTGTACACTTTTTTATGACCAAAGGAAATAATCATAAATTTACTAACTTGTTAAGTTGATTTATCTCCCTCCCCAGTACTGATGACACAGGAAATATATAAATACACATTGATAATTATATGGTTTGATGATGATGATTGACAAATACATGATAACATATATACAGGCAATAGTTATAGAAGATTGAAAATTTTTACAAGTCTAATTAGTATTTCATATTAAGTCTGCATAACAAATCATAATATTCATCCATTATCTTCAGTGTGATGCATTTAATCACTGGAAGAGCCACCTGTTGACATTTGTTCATTTCCTGCTGATGCCAACAATCCATGTTTAAACACAAATTAAAAGCTGGGTTTTCAATAATCTAATATACAGTGGTGAATTGGCCAGGCTGTCAGCTTGCCCAATGGCAAGTGGCCCTCCTACATCAAATAAAAATGTAATAAAGAAACAGTTTTAATAAAAAAATAAGGAATAAGAACTTTATAAAGTCATCTGTACACTATCAGTTACTAAAGTCCAATGAGAGAGGACCTTTTCAAAGCTAAAGGTCATAAAGACAAGGTTAAGAAATTCACTGTCTAAAGAGAATTTGGAATCCTGCATGTTGCTATCCATTCAAAAGGAATTGTTAGATGAATTGGATGCCGAAGCAATTTTATTGCCAGATATGCACAATCATCGAGTGAACACAAACAATTGCTCTTAATATATTAGGCTGCATGCAATGCTTTGTTGTGCTTTTGAACTACCTATTAATGTGTAAATTGTGCAGTAAACTCTTTAAATATATTAACCAATTACTTAAAATTAAAAAAAAATAAATATTGAATTATAACATTCTGTATTTACATTGGTATCTACCACCACTAGTATGCACTCTACATGGACACTGTAATTACCAAGAAATACACTTTTTTTTTTTTTTTTTTTACACACAAACATTTTAATTATATCCTTTTCTCAATGTGTATTTTTTTGAAAATTTTATTTGTTCATTATGGAAATTAAGTGATAGCATTGTAGTCTCCTTGCAAACAATATTTTTACACCCATTCCACCACTGATTATATAAAAATTGGGTTTTGAATAATATATATAATCTTATATAAATTTGTGTACAGCTATAAATTTTGTATATCCTCATCTTACATCAGGCGATTAAAACAGCCAGTATCATTAACACATAAACTCATATTGACCTTTTATATAAATTGCTAACATTTAGTATTTGCAACATAAGCACAATCATCTAAGTTTCATAACAATTTTTAAAAGCATATTGTAATAATTATTTTATAGGTATTATTTTTTATTAAAATTTAAATTTTTTTCATATACAGGGTGCAACAGAAATACCTCACACATAATGGTAAGACAGTAAGAAGATTATGTGGGAAGTATTTCTGTCACACCCCATAAGCAATGTTTCTGCAATTTAAAAACAAAAAAAAAACTCCCCCTCTCAAGTTTTTTTTTTTTTTTTTTAATTCTTCATGCTTGCATAAAAAGGATTTATATCTGTCTAAATAAGCCAAAATCTGTTTAATTAGATTTTCTTAAAACCATACCAGATTATTTAAAAAAAGTGAAAAAAATGTTTGTTGAATTTAATATTAGTATTATTATTATTTAATACAAATACAAGGAAATTATTTAAATGTTTCACTCCTAGTCAGCTCTGTCCAGAATAGATAGTTCAAGTTGACTTAAAATAATGATAAAAGGATCTTTAGAAAATCAATGTCTTGCTGAAAATGTTGTTTATACAGAAATTTTATAGAAGTAAAAGAACTTTTATAACAATTTATTTTTCTCTGCCCACAGGATAAGTATCTGTCTAGTAATAATATATATGTCAGTTAACATATAGTGTGGCCAAAGAATTCAGCCCTGCATGGTGACTACTTGTTTCATTCCTTAAGTTATCATAACACCATACGGTGTTGATTTCTCTGCCTGCACCGTTTATCTTTACATACACTCTATCATTAATATTGAGCATTCTTCCCCTGTTAATATCACAAACTTTAAACATTACATATTTGGACACACTACATAACCCTGTGTGTGATTCATTGAGTCACTGTTTAAATAGGAATTATGATGAAAGGGAACATTAATTGAATTTTATCCCACACACATTATACAAAGGTCTTCTGTGCATTATTGGGGCAAAAAGAGAATTTTACTTACATATTCTAAATTTCTTTTTGTTGTGAAGTAAATAACACATGTCTGATGACACAAGATGCTTCAAATAAAGTACCCCAAGTGAGTCAGGGAAGTTCATTGGAACCAGTCAGAAGAATTTCTAGCATACATCATTGCGAGTAGCCTAAGCAAGACATAATAATATAGCTGCTAGGAGTGAGTTATAACAGTAGCAATGCGGGTATCAAAACTCATACGGAGTAGGAAAAAATACTTTTTGCTTCAGTGCACAATAACAGTGGTGACGAGATATTAGAACTACATCAGTTTAATTTTTTCTCTTTAGTGTGTGTGTGTCACGGCTATTTAAAAGCCTTGTTTTTGTCATAGGAAAATCCAACTTGGCGCGTAAACGAAATATTCAGCAAAAAATCTCATTCATCAGTAACATTTTAAACACCTCATAGAATGTAAAGTTCTTAAAGCAAATCTATACCAAACTGTTTTCCTGAATCAGTGATGACTTGGCTGTCCAAAAATCATAATATCAAGATGAAATAATGGAAACTGACTGTGAAAAATACAATTATGCGCAACAGGTTTTTGATCAATCAGTAAACTTCCGGACCTTTTAGGGCGACGTTATAGGATCCAGGCGGCTATTGTTTGCACATGGAATCATTCACTGGTAATTAATCTTCGATTTGGCTGTGGAAAATGTTGCTTGGCAGTTAGCATTAAGAAATTATGCCCAATTTTCTGAGAAAAATCACTGTTTTTTTTATGAAAAAATATTTATTTTTGCTTCAAAATAACATCATTCAAAATTCATTCCTTTCTCTTTCATTTGGCTGAACACCAAGCTAAAGAAAAATGTGGAAAAAGAAAAATTAATCCATGTTTCAGATTTGGGAGGTTACATCTTGGAATCAACTGTCCCTTTAAGAATTCAAATTGCTACAAGTGTGGAAAAGTAGGACATAAAAAAAAGTCACTGTAAAACTAAAGCATGGAAAAGTTCTCACAGAAATTTTGTACACAGTGTTGCAAGAGAAAAAATAATTACAGAAAACAAGAAAATTTGTGAATGTAAAAATGAAACTAGACACTGGTAGTGATATCACAGTAATCAATGAAACCACTTAAAAAGCAAATGGAAAACCTATATTAAAAAGAATTTCAAAAATTGCATGTGGTGTTTCAGGTGAGAAATTATTTTTTATTGACAAAATGACTTGTAATGTCTTGTTTGTAACAAGTGTATAAAAGCTAAGGCTTATGTTAAAAAATACTACAGACTTAGTATTGACTGGATGGCTGTGGGATTTACCTATAAATATTTATTGCAAAAATATTAGTGGATAAGCGACCAGTTTTAAAAGAAAAAAAAAAAGTGAAAATTTAAAGTAAGAATTGAAAAATTGTTTCCCCCAACGTTCTGCTGGATGAGTTGTGTCAGTGTTTCAAAGTCAAAGCGAAATTTCAAGTGCAAAAAGTGGTCAACGCCAGTGTTTAGACTGAAATATAGTGTACCGTTTACATTATTGAATAAAATCAGTGAAGAATGAGACAGACTTGAAAAAATACCTATCATATTACAAAAGTGGATATTAAATAAATTTCATAGTGGACATTGAGAATTTCAAGGATGAAACTATGTATAATGGATCAAAACATTGAAAAATTAGTAAAAGCCAACAGGGGTTGTGCTCTGGCAGCAAAATCAACCACCACAAAATTACAACCTTGGCTAAAGATGGATTCTCTGAGATCAAGACTGCACCACATAGATTTCACAGGTCCAATAAATAGATCACATTATCTTGTAGTGGATAGCTTTACTAAGTGACCTGAAATTTGTAAGTGTAAAAAAAAAAAAAACAACTTCCACAGTTACAGTGAATTTTTCACACAAATTGTTTTCAAGATCCAGCTGCTGTAGTCTCAGATAACGGTACACAATTCACTGCTTATAAATTCAAAAATTTTTGTAAAATGTTCTCAATTGAATATATTACTACCCCACCGTATCACCCAAGGTCAAACGGACAAGCTAGACGGTTTGTGGGTACTTTTAAGAGAGCTTTGAAAAAAGCAATTAAAAATTGATCCAAAAAGTACTACAAAATTTCTTGTGGGTATACCAAATCCCAATGCACTGTCAGGCCATGTTGCAGGC